TTTTTTTTTTTTTTTTTTTTTTTTTTTTTTTTTTTTTAGCAACGGACAGTAAAAAGATGGTTAAATAGGTTTGACAAAGAAGGTACAGTAGAAACTCGAGAAAGATGCGGACGTAAAAGGGCTACAACAGCGGAACAAGATGAAGCTATTGTACGTTTAGCTACGCAAACGCCGATAACAGCAGCAAAAGCTGTACTTCCTGCTTTAGGACTTACTTGTTCTGTTGATACTATACGTGAAAGGCTGCATAAAGCTGGAATTCACAATTGGAGTCCTTCGAGAAAATATATGCAAAGAATTCCACTTGGGTTTGTTCTTGAAATCAATATTTTTTAAAATAAAACAATTTATTTTTTATGCCATTTGATTTTGCTCTTATTTAGTGATACGGATGGTGTTACTATTCAACAACCTGTATGGAGACCTACTGGAACACAATTGGGGAAAAAAAAGTCTTCCAAAGATTCTAATAAAAATGAAAAGAATACTAGTACAACTAAAAAAAGAAATCCATCAAAGAAAATTAGAGCCAAAGATATATATGTAGGGGATGGTGCGCCAATAGAAAATGAAAAATCTGATGAACAACGAGAATTTATATATCATCAACAAAATGCTTCAGAATCTCAAGTTAATGAAATGCAATCATCATCTCAACCTTTGCAATCTCAGACAGAATTTGGTAGTACTCTAAGTTTATCTCAGCAAACACAATCTATTTATCAACATCCTAGTTTAAATATATCTCAGAATTGGCCTTTAGATTTAGTGCAAGGAAGTCATCACTATCCTCAAGTTTGTATAATTTGTTTAATATTATAGATATTTATATTATTATATATAACTTATATTTTCTCAAATTTTTAGGATCAATCAAATTCAATATCTCATGAACAAGTGGCTTCCTCACAACAACTTCAAGAATTACATGCACAACAAGAACAAAACCATGTACAACAAATACAACAAACTCATAATCTTGATGAACAACAAAGGCAACTTCAGGCAGAAGTTCAGCATCATAGTGATCAATTACATTCTCAATTAGCTAGTCCACAAAATAATACGAATTTAACTTCTGATAATTCTAATATTCGTGGCCATCAAGATAATAATCAGTCTTCTAGTATAGAATCTAATCAAAGTAAAGATTCATCGAAAGAAGGCAGCGCGAAAAGTGAACCACAGAAAAAGAAAAAAAAGGGTGGGAAAGCTAAGGGAACATTGGAAACCAGTGTTGAAATTCGAAATCGTATGATTGGCATGTCTGAAGCCGGTTTATCCACATTATCTATCGCGCTTGCAATCGACAGATCGGTAAGAAGAAACATGTTCGTCTTGATGGATTCACATAATTAAAACCATCTCAAGAGTAGCCGTATACGCAATACTCATTATTAAATAGGAACGTACCGTAAAAAGATGGTTAGAACGTTGGCATAAGGAAGGGAACGTACAAACTAAGGAAAGAAAGGGTCGTCGACGAATTACTACTAAAGAACAAGACGAAGCTATTGTTGCTATGGCTACTCAGCAACCATTAACTGCAGCTAAACACGTCGCGCCTGCACTGGGTTTAAAATGTAGCGTAGATACTATTAGAGAGAGGCTTCATAAAGCTGGTATACATAGTTGGAAGCTTGGAAAGAAACAAGGGTTAGTAAAAAAAAAAAAAATAAAATAAAAAAAACGAAAAAAAGATTCTTTGTTAATTATTATTCATATTTATTCATTATCAAACAATATTTGATTATTTTAGAGAAGGAAATGCTGTACATACTGTACACCTTTGGCAGCCTAGTGGAAATCGACCAAATAAACCTAAATTACCAGGTGAAAAGAAGAAAAAAACGAACAATAATAAGAAACGTGATCAAATGTCAAACAATACGCAAAAACGACCCACTAGAAAAAGAAAAACCGAGTCCATTGCGATGAAAATGGTTTCACCCTCTACAAATTTGATATCAGAACAAACTACAACTTTATCATACCATAATGGAACAAGTAAGATTAATAACTAAATATTTATTATGTTTTTCTTGTGATAAAAACTAATTGATAATTTTTAAAACCACATTTTAGTGGCAAATTATGTTTCAGGTTCTAATATAATACAACCTATTCATAATATTCCTCCACCTCCTCCTACAATTGTTCAATCTCAATCACATCCTCCAGCAGGTCCTCCACAAGCAACTCAATCTATACAACCAATGAATTCTATGATACAACAAAGACCTGATTGTCGATTAGCATCAATTGTAGCACCTGTATCAGGACAAGGAAATACTGGAGTTACCTATCCATCATGTATGGTTGGAAGTAATACTCATACAGGACATATGGAACAACCAGATCCTTTAAATTATGAACCATACATTTGGAGTTTCTAATCATCAAGTATAAAAAAACATTAAAACATTAAATAATAAATTTTCAAGATATTCTTAAATATATTGTATCATTCCAATTTAAAAAATTTTTTTTTCTATCGCATTTGAAGTTCAATTTATTGATTAAATTTAGTGTATTGATTTTACATTATACTGTTTATAATAATAATATGAATGATTTGAATCATAAGTTGGAAAATATTCAATATTCATTTTTATGATTGTAAAATCAAATAAACATTGGGTGAGTATTGGTTTGAGATAATTGGTTTAAGAAAGAGTAGATCCAATTTTAATTAATTATAATTGAACTTTAATATATCCTCATAATTGCATGCATTAATTCCTTAAATTATCATTAATATAATTAATATTTGATATTAATGAAATATATAAAACAATAATTATTTTTTTTATCTTCTATTTTGAATACACTAATTTATGAAATTATGAATATAATATTATAGAATAATAAAAATTTTTTAAACTAAATCAATTATAATAAAATGGAAGTGATCATTAATGAGTAGCGAAAAAATTTCATTTATTTTTTAATATTAAAGCAAACATCGCATATGTAAAAAATATTTCATCTAAAATATATAAATTTTTAAGATTTAAATAAAATATTTTTTTTTAAATTTAAATTAATTTAAAAAATGTTTGTGTTAAATGAAATTAATTGAATCAATTTAAATCAACACGAAAAAGCGTCAATAATGTGTAAATATAGCGATATATATATATGAATATAAATGAATTTAAATGAATTTAAATAATTGAACAAATATATTGATAAAAATAAAAGAAAAGTTATACAATATTTATTTTGCTATACAATGTATTTTATCTTTAAATAGTCATTCAAAATATGCAAAATAAAATATTGTGAAAATAGAAAATGTGTCATATTAAATTTATATTTATGAAATTCTTAGGAATGAGTAAACAAATAATGTTAAAAAAATTGTAAACCGCATAGATTATATTATTTTTATACATGTAAAAGTTTACAATATTTAATCTATATATGTATTTTTTTATCCTTATAGATTTTTTATGATTCAATGTAAATTCTTCAAGTATAATTATGTTTCATTATTAAATATAATTTATTATGTAAGTTCCCATATATGTGAAACATTTTTTAATACATCATCAGGATTATTTTTATAAAACATAAAATATCCTTGAATTTGCGCTGGACTAACATATTTCTTTTGCGATAATACATTTTCTGTAAATTGTTTAGCAAGTACATTTGCTCTATCGTCAATATTGCGATAAAATCTCAAAAACATTTGTTCCACTTGATTTGCACTACACCAACCTGGAATAGTATCAATTAATATCATTGATATTTAATTACATTAAATCAATGAATATTTTATTATTTAAAACATAATAATTTATAAAATGTTATATATGTACCTATATATTCTTTTACATCTATTCTACCAGGTCTAACTAATGCAGGATCTAATCTTTCTAAGTAATTGGTTGTCATGAAAAGAATTCTTGCTTCTGTAGAAGCAACGCCATCTAAACAATTTAATAAACCACTGAATGTAACTCTATTTAAACCATCATATGCAGCTTTAACTGTAATGAAGATAAAAATTAATGTTTTCATATAAATAATTACACAATATTATTTTTTCACTTACTTTCTTTACTTTCTTCTCGACTAGTAAAAGCGGCGTCAATATCTTCTAAAAGAATAATAGTTTGTTGTGGAGCTACTGCTAATAGATGATTTAATCTATCATCTGTTAAACCTCGTTCTGATAGATTTAAAACACAAATGCCCATTTCTAATTCACCAGCTAAAGCAGTAATGAATGATGATTTACCGCAACCAGGAGGACCATATAATAAATATCCACGTCGATACGGAATTCCTAATTAATTATTTAATTTAATTCCTAATAAATATATTTTTAATTTTTGGTGCAAATGTTACATATTCTTATTAATGTATATATTTGCTACAGATATATTTGCATCATTTACATACCACGATCGCTATACCATGAAGGATTTTGTATAAATTCACGACAATCGTTTATTATTCTTTCTGCAATACCAGTATCTAAAACAACTGAATTTAGTGGTCTTCGTCTTCTAGGATGTCCAAATTGTCTCCATTCACTTCCCATTGCAATATACATTATTGTTTTACCTTCATATTCTTTTAATGCCATTTGTCTCGCTGAAAATAAAAATTAATTCTTTAATTGTTTACTTTTTTGATTATTTTGATTATTTTGATTATTTTTTCATTTTAATATAACTAATATTTTACCTTCTTCTAAAATATTAAAATAAATATTTTTATTCCTTCCTAATGCTGTAAGTTGTACTGTTTCCCATGGTATACCCATTTGTATATCCAGTGTTTGTTGTTCCCTAGTTCGTTCTACTCTTATCCAATTCCCTTTATATCTATTAATTGAACAAATATAATATATCATTGATTTAACTATTATAATTTATATGATTTAATGATTCTACTATTATTATAAATTTTAAATTGTTACATAAACGTATCATACTTGTCATTGTCAGATGAAATATTGCAGTGATAAGTACAGTTACTTCTAACCTAATAAAATGTGTTCCAATACTTGGTACGAAATCATATCTAGTTTTTATGTGACCTGTTTCTTTTTGTTCAAAACTTGTTTCAACTGAAAGATGTTGCGTTTCCTTTGCACCTTTATGTGTAATCCATTGTAAGAGCCATTGATAACTTTTATCACGACATGGAACTTCTAAAGTGATCATATAATGTCGCCTTGTAAAAAAATTAAATATCATATTATATTGAATTATATTGATATAAAGTCGTATATAATATGATATAAAATTGTAATTTTTAATAATACCTGAACATTATCATTCCTACTTGCATTCCTTTTCGTAATAAAGCTGCACCAGCACCTAACCCAAAAAGTCCAAAACCAGCTCCAAAATACGGATTATCAGATAAAGTTTGAATATAATCTATTATAGTCATAATGCAATTATTTATTTATTTTCTAATTGCATTAAAAATATTATTATTCTTAGTATACTGTTTTACATGTACTATTATTAGTACTAACTTGTTTTAACTATTTTATATAATATTATACCTTTCATTTGTATTACATCTTGTATTATGTTTGGTGTAAATACAAAAGTATACTTATTTTAAGGTTCTTAGAATAAAAAAAAAAGTATTTAGGTTGCACAAAAAACCTAGGAAATTTTATATCTCTTAAAAGTGCTAATAATTCTAGATTAAAGTGTGTATAAAAATAATATACTATTAAGAATAATGCATAAAAAAAATATGACCATAATATTTAATAATATTTTTAATAAGCAAAATAATTTGTAAAATTCATGTAAAATGTACGTCTGTGTGAATAGTAAATAATTATATTAAGTATAGACGTATCAGTATCTTTCACCAGTTACCGGCACGTGTTTTGCATGGATTGGTTATTATCCTTGTCCAATTCTTTTACAATATGAGTTTCATGGAAAATTTAAAGGTATGCAATTTAATTAAAAATATAAAATTCTTTTCTTTTTCTTACATATATTATTATGAATTCTATATATTATATCATATTTTTATTTTTAATCATTTTCGTTAACTACATCGATAATTTAATACTATTATAAATGTAAGAATTTATATAAATTATAAAAAATAGTAGAAATACTTATATTATTGTGGTAATCAATTTTTATTATTGTATAACAAATATATTAAGAAGTTCAATTATTTCATTGTTTAATAAATTAAAAATATAATTTATTAAAATTTTTTAATTTAAACTATCGAAACTATCGTATAATAGTATCGTAGAAACATATTTTTCAATTTTATTAAATTTCTTATATTTTTATATTTACTTTCCTTATTATCAACAATATTTGTATTGTTTACAGATGCGGTTAATTATATGTCTTTATTTTTTAATACTGTGTACAATATACATTGAAGCAGAAAAAAGAGTAAACAAATATGTAACTACTCTAATAGATGCAAAATGGAAAGAAACACCTTTGGCTCTTGAAGCTGCTGAATATTTAAATGATGAAAATCCAAGTTATTTTTGGAAATTCATAGATAATTTTGCTAATTATGATTTAAGAAATGGTAATTTTACTTTTATTTTATTTTATTATATTATATATATATATTTTATATCATTTTTAATTTTTTTATAAATAATGTAATTTTATATTTTATATTAGTTTTGTTTTCATAGTTACAGAGAAAGATAACTATGATGCTGTTATTGCATTTGCTGAAAAATATTTATCTCATTCTGAATTAGCACTAATGAAATTAGCATTATCATTAAGAATTTATTCAGCACGTATTGAAATGTTCACACAAATGGCAGAAAATAAAAATATGTCCTTTCTTGATTGTTATAATATAGTGGATATTGGTGGAGTGTTTACATGTTCTTTGGAAGAATTAGAAAAGTTGGCTATTCAAGTAAATGACACGTAAACATTTTAAAACATATATATACATATATTAATTAATTTCAATTATATATTCTATGATTATGTTCATAGGATACTTGGATACATCCAGATATTTATAGTGTAGATCATCGTTATCATGCATCTCAACAATCAGATAAAATTATTATATTATATGGACAAATTGGAACACCAAAATTTTTGGATTTCCATAATAAATTAAAAGATCTTGCAGAAACTAGTGGAATTAATTATATTTTACGACATTATTTAAAGGTATTATATTATAATTATAAATATATTTAATATAATGATATATATATGTATGTGTGTAATTAATTTGTGATATCTATAGGACAGAACAGACAAAAATGTACGTTTATCAGGATATGGTGTAGAATTGCAAATGAAATCCACAGAATATAAAGCAACAGATGATTCAGATATTAAAGATAATACAGGAAAAGATTCAGAGACTACAACTGATAGTATGGAAGAAATAGATGGAATTAATTTTGTAACTTTAAAGTAAGGTGGTTATATTCTTGATATTTAGACTTTACATATTTTCATATTAATTTTAAATTAAATATTTTTAATTTACTATTTTTTTTTATTTTCTATTATCACAATCTAATTTTTAAAAAATTTTTTTTTTTTAGAAATTTGTATCCTAATAAACAATTAGAGTTAGATAAATTACAAACTCATTTACTTGAAACTAGTCATGAAATTGGTGCTTTAAAAGTATGGCAATTTCAAGAATTAAGTTATCAAGCAGCTGAAAGAATAATGAATTCTCCTACAAATGAGGCTATTAATGTTTTAACAGATATTTCACAAAATTTTCCAATGCAGGTATTTTTTTTACAATATTAAAATTATTCTTCTGCTGGAATTTTATATTTTTATTTCATTTTTATAATAATATATTTATATAATATTTAATTTGTTTGAAGGCAAAATCTTTAATTAGAACAAAAGTAAATAATGAAATGAAAAAAGAAATGAAACTTAATCAAGCAATATTTTCTACAAGTTTAAATATACAACCTACAGATACTGCACTTTTCATTAATGGATTATTTTTTGATTTGGAAGCAGTAGATGTCCTCAGTCTTTTAGAATCATTGAGAAGTGAATTAAGAATAATGGAATCTCTTCGTAAAATCGGTATGTTGCATTTAGATTTGCTTATTAAAAAAGAAAGAAGCTGTTATTGAATATTTCATTTGTAGGATTTAGTAATAAAGAGATAAGCACATTGTTGGCTTTGGATTTATCTACTAATATGGATAAACAAGAATTTGCAATGGATATAAGAGATTCAGCTATAATTTGGGTAAATGATATTGAACAGGATTCAGCTTATGCGAGATGGTCGTCATCGTTAACAGAATTATTGAGACCAACTTTTCCTGGAATGCTAAGAAATATTAGAAGAAATTTATATAATTTGGTTGGTGTAAACATAGATTAATGATCTAAAATAATTACGATATAATTTTAGAAAATTTCAAAAACATAAATCCATTTAAAAATTATATATTTTAATAGGTATTAATTATTGATCCTTTAAGTGGAGAATCCAGTCCTTTGATAACATTAGCACAATCATTATATCTACATTCTGCACCATTAAGAGTGGGTTTTGTCTTTGTAACGAATTACGATTCCTCTGTAACTGGACTAACTGATCCCAGTGTCGCAATTAATAATGCATATCATTATTTTGTGGAAAGCAAAGGATCGGAACATGCTTTACAATTTCTGATAGATGTAAGATTTTACTATATTTAATCATCATTAGTCTTCTATACATAAAATGAAAGTCTTTCTTATTCTATGTATTTTTATTCTATATATTAATAATTTTTATTCTATATATTAATAATATAATTAATAAAATTTATAATATATTATATCCGATTTTAGTTAGGGAATTATATTGGATCAGAAGGAGTAGATGTAGAAGATATAAAAAAAACAATAAAAATGCAGGATTCATCTGCTAATATAAATTATATCCTTGGCGAAGAATCTGAATATGACGTAGGACGTCATTTAGCTAGTGATTTCGTAAAGCGATCTGGTTTTAGAAAATTTCCGCAAGCTTTGCTTAATGGTGTACCTTTATCATCTGATCAATTAAATGCCAATTCATTTGAAGAAGCTGTTTTATCTACCATCATATCACAAACACCTGCATTACAAAAAGCTGTATATCGAGGAGAAATAACTGAAGGAGATGATGTAGTTGATTATATTATGAATCAACCGAATGTTATGCCTTGGTTTGAAATTTTAATATAAGATTTTTTCAAGTTTATATATATAATATGTTTTATATGTTTTATAATAATTTATATGTTTTGTTATAGCCTGAATGAACGAATATTGAAACCGGAAAAACATACATGGTTAAACTTAATTGGTACCATACCTAATGATGAAGATTATAACAAATGGACTCCTCAAGATTTATCAAGTTGGTTGATGAATAAAATGCGTTATATATATGTTCCACGTCGTACAACTGTTCATCATTTATATACATTTTGGATTGTAACAAATTTAAATGAATTAAAAGGTAGACAATTATTACGTGAGGCACTCGAATATATAGTAAGTGATTTAATATATTTATTATTTATTTACATCATTATATTTATTTACAATAAGATTTGTATTAATATTTGAGTATAATTATCATGATTTAGGAATCGAATGCAGATGTTAGAATTAGTATAATTGTTAATCCACTTGTCGATACGAATGATAATATAATCGATATTAATCAAATAGTATTAGCTGCGTTACACACTCTTCCGATAGAAAAGATTATGCGCTTTATTCGTAACATAATAAAAGAAGATGTGGCTACTGTTATTCTTAATGGAAAAGTTGATATAGAGGTAATCATTCTTTTGAAAAACAGTTAAAATTTTAATTTTATAAAAATAATAAATATTTAACAATTTATTATAAAATTAGGAAGAAGTTGTAAAGGAACGATTAAAAAATCAAATAGATGAATTGTATATACATCGTCGATATATTAAAACAGTATTAAATTTAGAAAAAGGAGCTAGAGCGATTGTATGTAATGGACGATTAATCGGTCCTTTAGATGATGATGAAGAATTTACAAATGAAGATTTTTCATTATTAGAAAGATTCACTCAAAGTACTTATGATGATAAATTGTTAAAAAAATTAATAAAAGGACAATTATTGGAAAATGACGAATATGGTATGATAAAAAATCTATGAAATCATATATAATATAAAATATGTAATGTAACATTATTCTTTCGATTTTTTATACAGAAAAGAATGAAATCACTGATGACATGATAATGAAAATCACATCTTTATTAGCATCGCATCCACAAACGCGAAGTCGATTTCACGTTCCTTTTCATGGTGATGATTATAGGTAAGAAATTCGTATTTATTTATAACATATACAAATATATGGTTTATGATATTTTTTTTATAATATATTTAGTGCCATAAAGATTCCAGCGATGAATCCAGATGAAGTATCATTTAATTTAAATGCTATTGTCGATCCAGTATCTCGTGGTGCGCAAAAATTGGGTCCAATTTTAAAAACGCTTCAACAATCTTTAAATTGTAATATTAAAGTATTTTTAAATTGTTTGGATAAAAATAGCGATATGCCATTAAAAAGGTATCCAGATGCTTTAAATAGGAAGGAAATGGTATATAAGGTATTAAATAAAACTGTTTATTTTATGTAATTATTTTATTTGTATTATTTTAGTTTTTATCGTTTTGTATTTGAACCTCAATTACAATTTTTTCCTGATGGGCGTATTAATGGAGCTATGGCGAAATTCACAAAATTACCGACATCATCTCTTTTGACGCAATATATTCATGCTCCAGAAAATTGGTTAGTAGAAGTTATTAGAAGTGTTTATGATTTAGATAATATTAAATTGGATAACGTAGCAATTGGAGTGCATAGGTAAGTAAATTTTATTAAGAAATATAGCAAAAACGTATATTTTTTTAATATATTTTATTTTTTTTAAATTATTTGTTATTTTACAGTGAGTTCGAATTAGAATATTTACTTCTTGAAGGTCATTGTTTCGAAGCAGTCATCGGAAATCCACCACGTGGATTACAGATTACATTAGGAACAGAAAAGCAACCATTAATGGTAGATACTATAGTAATGGCAAACTTGGGCTATTTTCAGTTAAAAGCAAATCCAGGTGAATGGGTATTACGTCTTCGACAAGGACGCTCAGCAGAAATTTATGATTTTACCACAGTCGGTGGCCAAGATGTTCTACAAAATGACAATGATGTAAAAGTTGTTATAAGTTCTCTCAGAAGTCATGTATTGAAAGTTAAAGTATCCAAGAAGCCAGATAAAGTGGGAATGGATCTTTTATCGGAAGATGATAAAAGTTCTGGTTTATGGAATTCTATTTCTAGGTAGGTAAAATTTTTTCAGTGTGTTTTTCTATAACTTGAGTGTTGATTATGTAAATTTAGAATAGTTTTAAATTTCTTGGTGTTAAATGAAGATATTCAATATTTTTAGCATGTCGATAAGCGATCGTCTAACTTTAATTTTTATTTGTTCTTTCTTTTTTTTTAGCTTTTCCAAATTTTGGTAAGCTTTCCACACCTACTTAAATATTATCGCGTAATATGTAATATCCTTGATGTATAAAAATAATTATTTTATCAATTGTTTTGTATATTAAACATGTATTATTACTATTATTATCATTATTATTTTATTATTTTTATGGTAGCATCAATATGCGTTGTATGTTGCAGTACATATTTGTACGCTCAATCAACAGCATATCTTTAAAAAAACAATAAAAATATTTTTTTTATTTCCATTTTTTAATTGTATTGCTTTCTTCAAAATTAGGACATTTACGACAACGGATGATAGCGATGATCAAGATGAAAAATTAAATATTTTCTCTCTAGCATCTGGACACTTATATGAAAGATTTTTGAAAATTATGATGTTGAGTATTATAAAGCATACCAAAAGTCCCGTTAAATTTTGGTTTTTGAAAAATTATCTTTCACCAACATTAAAGGTAAACTATTATACGCATTAATAAATAAATCAGAAGATATAGAAAAGTTTAACAAAAATGAAATCAAATGAAATTTTTTAGGATTTCTTACCTCACATGGCAAAAGAATATGGCTTCGAATATGAATTAGTACAATATAAATGGCCTCGTTGGCTCCATCAACAAACTGAAAAACAAAGAACTATATGGGGTTATAAAATATTATTTTTAGATGTTTTGTTTCCGTTAAATGTTAAGAAAATAATATTCGTTGATGCCGATCAGGTATATGGATTACATACAAACAATTACAATTTATTATCATTAATATTATTGGTTTTTATTATTAATTTTTGTGATAATTAATTAATATGTGATATATGATATATTGTTGTTAGGTTGTAAGAGCAGATTTGAAAGAATTAGCGACTATGGATCTTGGAGGTGCACCATATGCATACACTCCATTTTGTGATAGCAGGAAAGAAATGGACGGATTCAGATTTTGGAAGCAAGGTTATTGGCGAAATCATTTACAAGGTCGCGCTTATCACATCAGTGCTCTTTATGTAGTAGACTTGAAACGATTTCGACGCATCGCGGCCGGAGATAGACTAAGAGGACAATATCAAGCATTAAGTCAAGATCCTAATAGTTTGGCCAATCTGGATCAAGTCCGTATGAAATTGATATTAACATAAAAGTAAGACAATTAAATAATATATAATAGTAATAAATAGTTTGTTGTTTCAGGATCTTCCCAATAATATGATTCATCAAGTGGCTATTAAAACATTGCCTCAGGAATGGTTGTGGTGCGAAACTTGGTGCGATGATGCATCCAAAAAATACGCTAAAACTATAGATTTGGTAAATAATAAATTGGTAATATGAATCTTAAATAATAATTCAATTAATATTCAAATGTTGTCCCATAGTGTAATAACCCAATGACTAAAGAAGCTAAGCTACAAGCTGCCGTACGTATTTTACCAGAATGGATAGGTTATGATGAAGAAATAAAAGCTTTACAGTTAAAGTTAGAGAATGAGAATAGACAAACAGAAAAAGAAGAGAATGGTAATCGAATAAATATATCTAATTCTTTAATTGAATATTTTTATTGTACATATATTGTACATATATATTATTATAATAAAATATGTATACTTTTCTTTTCTTTTATTTTAGAAATATTTGAAGATACGGAAAATTTTACAAAGCATGAAGAATTATAAATAAAAATAAAATGAAATATAAGAATAAATTAAAAAGAAGATAGTATGGATACTTTTACAAAAAATTTTCCACAAATAATGAATTATTTTCAATATTCGCAAGCACATTGTTGCAGCAGCGCGTGATTTTTTAAATGACAATTAAATAAAACATTAAAAAATATTGATTGTCTTAATTTAATGAATTATTCAATCATTCAATCAGAAATGTGTCATATTGTAGTAATTAATCAGATAAGGAATTATGTCCATACCGTTAACATAATTGTGATTTTGTATTATCTACTATAGTTATAAGAAATAAACTTGTAATGTTTGTAAGGTATTTTTTATGAATATTTGTTCCATTCACAAAAATACTCCTATTTCTGCATAATATAAAAACTTTTTAATAAAAGAGAAACATTTTTTGGCAACATTAAAGAAAATAGTTGTATTAATTAAAAGAAAGATCTTGTAATAAAATTATTTATAATAATTACATTTTGTATGTATTCTGTTTTCAATATTTACTAGAATTACAAGTTTGTATATAAGAATAACTTATATTTTTATAACTATAGATTATTTATAATGAAATTATAAAACGACTGATGACGACGAAATGACATTTAGATTATTAAATTATTAATATATATCATATATAATATATTACATATATATATTGTAATAAACGTGATGATTTATTTTACGATGTTAACATAATCATGATCATTTTTTGATGACTTTTTAACATAAACTTTTTATTTAATTTAATTTAATCTTTCATTTAATTGTTTTTACGTTTACTTCTAATAATTATTCTTATTTTTATATTTAATTTTAAATTTACATTAATGTTATCTCTATAGATTTATTCGAACGTATCCTAAAATTATACGTTCTTATATATGTTCTTATATTATAACTTTAATTAAAAATTTGTATGAATTCTCAAAAATATTAAAATATGCATATTATAAAAATAAGTATCTTTTGGAATGATAGTTCACTTTTATCTTCGAATTTATTTTCATGAAAAAAATCGAACATAAGATAAAAAAAAAATTATTAAATTTATCAACAATCTATATAAATATAATTCTTTATTTAGATTATATAGGGTTAATTGAATCTTGTACACGTGCGTGCGTGTATGTGTATATGTGCGTGCGTGTGTATTATATCTTGTTTTTTGTAATTACATCATCAAATAAATATGATTACGATAAGGACGAAATATATTGAAAATAATTACAGTTTGTTTAAATTAAATTAATTACTAAAATAATTGTCGATATACAATTCGTTTATGTTGATATGATCGTTATATGATCGTTATATGATCGTTATATGATCGTTTTTTACCACATGGAATAAATCTATTATATAAAATCAATATTAATTATCGATTATAGTTGAAAATAAAATTGAAAATTGATAAATAAATTTTATGTTTCTCCTCCATGAATTATTTAATATTAATATTCTATTTTTTTAAAATATATATCGCAAAAATGTAATCTTATATATATGCAGAAGTAAACTTGTGGTGCAAATTAATTCCATGGAAGAAAAATTTATATTAGCCAAAATAATATGCCAAAATAATAACATATTTTATTATTTTTTCTGAAATTTAGAATTAGAATTCTATACGTGTACTTTGCTATATTTATATTTGATAAATATTTAATTAAATTTGAATAGGAATAAATTTAAATTTTAAAATTTAAATCAAAAATTTTTAAAAAAATATCAATTAAATTCTAATCAAAAAATGGCAGATGATTAAGCATTTTACATCAAAAAGAAAAAACTTTGTGAATAATATGATAGAAAAAAAGAAAAAAATACAATCGATCTATACAAGTTTAATTATTTTCGAATTGTTTTCGATTTTATTAAAGTGCACAATTAATATTACGAAAATTTATTTGATTGATAACAAGAGAAAATTAGAAATTTTAAATGATTGTTACAAATGATTGTTACAATGAAATAACAGGAAATAACAGAAACAGGAAAACGCAATACATAAGGCATTAAACTATCGTGAACATGAAGCGTGACAAAGATAGAATAAACGACGAATAGATAGAAACTTTGAAAGGCAGAAACAGATAGAGGAAGCAAAGAGTGGGGGAATCGATGGTCGCAGAAGAAGGGAGAAAACAGGAGGAAGGAAATCGGTAGAGAGCGATCTTCAACTAAAGCAAGAGAGGGGATAAAAGAGATAGAGAGAAATAGCAAAGAAAGAACAAGAGAAAAAGAGAGAAACGAAGAAGGAGAAACTCATCGAGAGTTAAGCTATCTGGTAAAATAAACGGACGAGACTAGACAGAGGGTCTTCTACCAAAAGACGGCATGAAGTGGCAAGCGATTTATGGTGTTCATGTAACTAGTGACGCGCGTACAATCCATTCACGTTTCTCCGATCGGCTGAGGATTTAATACACTTGCCGATCTGCCGTTCGTAATCGCGTCGCGCCCCTTCTTTTCGTTCCACTTTGCCTCGTCTCGCCTCGCCTACCGCGCCGCGACGTCGCGTCTTCGTTTTTTCCCCTTTCGCTTTTCTTTTCCATATTTTTAATCGATCTACTGAATGGTGAATTGATTCGATTGCTTGTTGCACGTTACCATCAGCGCTGTTGTACCGCGCACGCACGCACACGCACATACACACATACATGCAACCGTCCTGCACGAGGATCATGGACGACGAAAGGATCAAGCTGTGAGTTCGAATATCCTTTCGAATTCGATCGGATCGATTCGGATCAGATCGGATCAAATCGCTTCTCCCCACTTTCTCCCATTGCAGTGTCGGGCGCACAGTACAATTTCTTACAAAGTCTGTTACAATTTTTTAATTTGACAATTTTTATGAGAGAAACAATTAGAGTATCGATTTTTCGATAAATGCAATCACAACATGGATATTTATATTTATATTATATTATCATTTGTCTTTTGTTTAATTTCTTGAATATATTGTTAAATATAATGTTAAATATAATATATGAAAAAAAACTTCTATTTCAATTTCTTATACTTATTTTAAGAGATGCACATGTTGAAAAAAATAATATAATTATTATGCTAATATATATTTTATATTATTTAATTACACGTTATTACTTTTTAACTTAATATTTTTTAATATCATACGTTATAAAAAATCAATGATAAAAAAAAAAATATAACATATCCTGGTATATCATGTTTATCATCCGCGTAATCACATTCTGTTACGTATCACGAAACAGAAGGACGATGCAATTTGGTTTTGCACACGGCATTATCATCACGGGAATCACAATTTTTTCATCAGAAAATGTTTCCATGGATAACGGCTTAATGTGGATTTACACACAATATCCTCATTGATATCTTCTTCTTAGATAGTGAGAAATGATAACAGCCGTTAAGAGGATGACGCGTAATCTCACGTAAGTGAGAGTTTTCATCTGATCATTGTTCTCTATGTTTTTGTTAGATATGTTGAAAAAGTAACTAGTTAAAATTTCGAGTAAAATTATTTTAAATAATAATTTTATTTAAAATGCTTAAATAATAATTATTTGTGACTATAAGTTGATTTGTTCTTCATATAACCTCGGCTATTTGGTGTTACAGTTATCAGCGATTATTCGATGTTTTGAATAATAAATTATTAAAGTGATTTATTCTTAATTTTAACCATTAATTAATTATATTATCGATCTTATCTCGCGCTACGCATTTAAATTTTCGGTGGCAATCTCTAATCATTAGGAAAAAAATTAAAAAACAATAAGAAATATCATGACTGATAACAGGTCGATAACTATTGTAAATAATGATATTTTTCTATTGATATAGACAATATAATACGGTTAGAAAATTTTTTTGATTTTTCAGAATACAATCGGAATAAAAAAATGTGCAGATATTTTTGCTACAATATAATTATAATTTATATCATATCTTATAATTTATATCATACCTTCGCAATAAAATTTTTTCTTATTATACATAATAACTTTATCGTGTCAAAATCAAATTAAGATCGAAATTATAAATCATCTGTTTGAATACATCCTCATCGACATCTTCCTCATCAATTTTTTTAATTCTCTTTCTTCTTCTTCTTCTTCCTTCCGTCCGTCAAGAAAACAGTGACAATTCTTTCCCTTTTCCAGGTGGTTCAATTACGAGATAAATCCGGAGTATCGATTGCACATTATAGAAATTAACGGTAAATAAATTCGGTTTTGTAAATTTTCGTTTCCAATTATTTCCCGTACAAACGAAAAAAAAAAAAAAAATAAAAAAAAGAAAAAATATTACGAGCCAAATTATAAAAATAATTTCAATTAATCTTGATTAGTACTGCGTGCAAACAATAGAAATGAAAACAGACAATAAAGATCTTAATATGATCTTAATACGATGAATTATATGATATGATCTTGATACGATTTATTTCCGCAAAATCGATTGTGTATATCATATGTATATTCGTTGATTATTATATTCATTTATAATTACATAATTATATTAAAATTATTTAAAATTCAATCAATTCAATTATTTTTTGTTTTTCTGTTTATTAATTAGATTCAAAGATAAAGCTGTGTATGGATATGGAACAAGTATTCCGCCTAATAATAATGAAGCTGATGAGAATGAAGCCTCGCCGAAAAAAGTGATTTTTTGTGTGCACGGTAAACTTTCGGGTTGCTGTACGGTTGTAAAA